TTTCCCTTTCAGAAAGCAGGACATGCTCACTCACAGAATGCAAAGCTGGGAAACACTGGGATCAAATCCAAACTAACCTTCCCATTGAAAGCCTGACATGAGAAATGACTCAGTGGTAGTTCAGCCATAAGAAAGACTCCTTTAAGCCTTGTGACCTACTAACTACTCACTGAAGTCAGCTACTGAAAGAAGCCACATACATTAAGAAGACACACAGAGCTGTATATAGCTGGAGAGGAACACATCTATCATATTCCACGTATATTCCTTAACATTGAGTTTTACCTGGCAAAGGTTCGTGGGTGCCCAGCTGCCGTATGGGAACAATGAAGGCATGCAGCCCTTTGCACTGGCCCTGGGTGTAGAGCTGAGCCAGGACAATAGCATGGTTTGATGTCTTTCCAACTGCAAAAGGAATGGAAGTCAGAAGGAAAAAACCAAACATAATTCCATACATAGAGTGTCTTCCTTTAAAGCAGGATCTGAGATTACCTTAAGCACATCATGCATTAGAGAACTAGATCTACAACATTGATTATCATCTGAATTCTACAGCTAGACAACGTTGCTCAAATCAGTGAAAGCTGAACAATATGATTCTCTTGACTATACAATACCAAGTCCTTGGCAAACCTGTCAGTGAAGCTAAAGGAAGTCTAAACTCTCATACAGTGAGTCAAAAATTACACCAAATCCATGGAGTATGAATGATTCTGAGAAACAATTCAGAGCACACAGACAATGCAAAGTTTTAGTAGGCTCTGCCAAGTCTGTTACTTGCTGTGCAAGAGGAACTGCCTTTAACCCAGCTATGTGGATTGTCTTTCAACCACCATCCTATAGATAGAACACACAGGACATCACCTCCCTAAGCTCTGCCACACATCTTCCAGATTTAGGCACATAGTGATGCACTTACGTCCACCTGGCCACCACTTAATGGAGGTCACAGTGGGGCTGTTGAGGATGAATTCCTGGGTAGCAGGGTCATAAGTAGCTGTAGTTTCTAGACCCCGAAGATGAGTTCCTAAAAATAAGCAAAATACAGTGTTTTGGCAGAAAGTCAGTCACAACAGAGGCAAGGACAGAACTGGACAAAGGAAAGTTGAACCCCACTAGTAACGTACAAACTTGAAGTTTTATTTTAGGCTACATAAAGGACTAAATATTGACCAATTCAGGAAGAACAAGCGAGAGCCAGACCAAAATCTGGGACCTGAGGCCAGTTCTCAGAAAACATGTTCTTGTTGGTTTGGGGCTTTTTTTCTCCAGTGGTCTAAGACTAGTTTTCCAAGCACCTCCAAATGGACACCTTTTTTCTCTCACACCCCAGAAGCTCAGTTCAAAAGGTCCACGAAAACATGCTCACCTGGATGTCACTAGAACTGCAATTTGATTAAACAGCAAAACAAAAATCACCTACATTTTAGCCACAAGATGAAAGAAATAGCACCCATCATCTCTTCATTCACTCATCAGGCTATATTCTCCTCACTTGAAGGAGCAGTTTCTCCCAAATGAGATCACCCATAGCTCCAATACAGCAAGTATAGCATGAATATGCTGGGATACTGATGCAGGTAGATGAAGAGACTGCAAAAAGATGAAGGTAACCATTCCAGAAAAGGTCTTTGTCTTCTGTTCCCAACTCCTTACACTTCACACACACCTGCCTCAGCAGTGGCATTGTCCCTACACATGTAAATTCAAAATCACTGGGCCTACTGGAAAGCTATCTACACTCCTGAGTCTGGGCTGATAGAGCCAGTGACTCTACATGAAAGCTTTAACATGAAAAAGGATATCACCTTGATGAAACCACGTTTCCAAAGCATGGAGTTCACAGTAGACTTCCACAGGCAGCTTAACACAGACTTACTTTGCTGGTAAAGGATCTTCAAACCTCACTAAGTTGCTGGAGATTCTCCACAGGCTTGCAGTTAATTCGTGCTTCATTCAGTCTCTACATTTCACTTCAGCTCAAAGATTAATCCTGCTCATTTTTAGAAAATGATTCTCATCTGCAACTCTCAGATGTCAAAAATCAAGGTCCCTAAACCATAATATCATCCCTTTGAAACTTGGATTAAAAGTGTTGCAATCACAATATGCTGGAGTTATCAAAATCCATTTCAAGCTTGAAAGCAAAGGAAAAGCAACAGAGAACAAAGTCCACTTGAGAAAGACAAGTAAAAACAACATTTTGTGGTCCAATTCAAAAGAACACATGGGAGTGAACCGAAGAACTGGGGGAATAAAGCTCCCCACAAAACATGTGCTTTGGAATCAAGTTATCCACGTGTTCTCTGGTCCAAGGTCAGTCCCAAGGTGACAAGCAACTCAACACCTTTCTTTTTAGCATCTCTTTCAGTACCTTACAGCTCTGTGCTTTTGTCTTCACACCAAACATTGAGTAAAGCAGAAATCACACTGCAAAGAATGGTAAGTGTTGAAATGAACAGATGTCACCAAACTGACATCACCATAGCCACATGTAATAGTCCATACCGGTTTGAATGGCAAACAGCATTCAGTATGCTCATCTATAGAGCTACAGACACCAAACTCTCCCATAGGAGAAAAAAAAAGGACAAGCAGCATGTGGCACAATGATCCATTAAAAATTCCAGCAGTCCACTTTTCCCTACAGCCCCAGATGCACATGTGAAGACTGGGGGGAAAACACACACTATTTTTCCAGGCAAGGGACTTCTTTGAACACAAACCATTCTTAGAAAAAGCGTTTAGTGAATGTACTGTACCATGGCCCATTTCAGTCTGGGCATAAGTGCCAATGATCTCCAGGTTCCAGGCAGGCATGAAGAAGCGATCCTGCTGCTCTGGGGTTGCCTGGGTGAGAAGGGTGGGGAGGAACATGCCCAGATGAAGGTCCAGAGGCTCAGGCCGTCCACGATGAACAAAGCTGTGAAGAAGTGCCATGGGATGGGAGTGTGAAGGGAATGTTATGGGAAGGAAGCAAGCATGAGGATTATGGTGGGGGTTCAGGAAGAGACAAAAAGAGAAAAAATAAAGATTCAGGTGTAAATCAGAATTCAGCAAATGCATTATAGAAACCAGAGCACTGTCCTTCTCAGGCTGAATAACTTACCCTTACTCTGAAATAAACATACTGCAGTGCATTTCCTGCTAATGCTACATAAAATGCATTTGCAGCATTCCTGTATTTTTGATGCACCACACTTCATAGATATAAAGAAAGATAAAGTCCACTTTTTCCTCATGGTAAAATCAGGTAGAAGTCCCAGTTTATCCAGCCGAATGAGCCAGGTTTCAACTGAACTTGCTTTTCTTATTTTAAAAAGGCAAGTCCTAGCTGTCTACAGTATCTACCTTCACTTTTTTATTAAAGATCAGTTGCAACTAGAGTACATTCAATTCCAACTCACCTCCTTCAACTTCAGCTATGTTTAAAAGCTCTCTTTAAAGGACAATGCTCTGCATGTTTAAGTCAAAGTTGTGAACACAAACAATTTGGCAAGAAAACCAACATTTTTCAAGCAGCACGGTCTCTCAACAATGAAACACGTTTCATTAGAGCTACTCTTCCTTCAAGCTCTGTCAAACACCATTATTAGTAAGTGCTCTATTAAGGTTTTTTGATATAAAGAATTAAATGTGTGTTAAACCTTTAACTATTTATAGGTTTGAGTATTAAAAGAGCAGGGATATAGATGGAGGATCAGTACCTTCTGTACAGAGGTTGTCCATCTCGTTCATTTACGTATGAAATAATTAAATAGGTCTAACAGGAATATATAGATTTAAATGAGAGGTGCATTATGGAAAGAGCACTGATCTAAGCTTAACTCAAACTCAGCTGACATTCTTAGCAAAGTGGGAAGAACACATCCTCGTGTTACCTCTAAACACACATTAATAGGAACTAGCTCTATCTCTACAGCTTCCTAAGAACTGTAGTTTTTTTCTTTGATATCTCAGGCACCTACAAAGAAATTCAACCATCTAATAAACCCAGTAGCAATGTTTCCTAAGCTTTCTGACTGACCAGTGACCAAGCTCAACAGGGAGCTAATGGCTTATCAGGAATACCAGAGTTCAGTACTGGTGAGAAGTACACAGCTGACAGTCACTGACTGAAAGAAAATCCTATTTACTAGCAACAGTTGTGACCCAAGTAGAAGCAGCATGGTAGTGTCACTACCCCTTTTGGTTTCCTTTACAGCCCTGTGCTATTTGTGCTTTTTCTTTCTTTTATTTTTTCCAACAGACTAATTCACTATGGATTAAAATCAACTCACTAAGATAAAACTGAGTAACCCATCCAGGCTAGGATTCAACTCAATAATCCAGAGGTCTGTTTCCACATCACCAGTTTCTAACTATCAGGATTAAATTAAGGAGAGCTCAGTGATAACTGATGCAGCAGCTTTATTGATGAAATAGTTCAGATAGATAGTCAACATTCACCACAGGACTACCAAACAGTTGCACTTGAATTATTCAGCACCACACTATCACCATATTAGTCCTATTAAGTGTCAAACTACTAATTTTACCATCTAACAACACAATGAACTATAAGCAAACCAAATCATCACCAGGCAAGGAAGTGCAATGATCTAATGTGAAATAGTGAGTAAAACAAATCACCTTGGCGTAGATGTGTGTCTGATTTAAAGAAGTTGGTGTGAAAAAGAAAAGAAGGTCAACGGGATTTTATTGGTGCCACCCACGTGTGGCCTTGGCGCTAAGCCAGGTTTGCTCACTCCATCTCTCCCAGGCAGAACAGACTGAGGATTCCCTCTGTTGCATCTTTTACAAACATTTCGGCTACCGCGAGTAGCTGTAAGTGAACAGCAACTGGCATCGCCAGCTAACTTCTGCAGTTGTCCAGACTTGTACGTATCCTGCTTTCCAAGTTTAGAGGCCAGCACAAGCACTGGAGTCTTTGCTTTGTTAAACTACTCTTGCTCATATTTAACAGCCATAATTCCAAGTCCAGGGTTAAAAGACTCTTTTTTGATCCATTAATGGTCTTCCAGTTGAAGAATGAGTCGTTTTCAACAATAGTAGGAAACAGATGTTTTTCTTCTTTGAAACCAAGATCTTTCCATGAAATTGTACAGCTGCAATCAAGCACGATCTGGAAGAAAAGTGCTTGGGGCAAAGCATACCTTACTCTCAAAACCAAAACTGCAAAATCTCACCATGCTGCATTACATCTGAAGGTGTACTTCTGACCTGTTTAAGCAAAGCAGTCATGCACTAAGAATCGAGATACACATGCCCCAAATTCAGGCAAAAATCAAAACCACAGTACTGTTGACTGACATGTTCCAACCAGTTCAAGTGAAATTCAGACTCCCACGGCTTAGAACCACCTCCTCACCTTAAAGCAAAAGTAAACAACTACAAAGTCAGTGATCAGCTAAGAGGTGCATTCTGGAAAAGACCAAAATTAACTCTGTCATTGTTAGGATGTGAAATGAAGCAGCTGTCTGGCTACAGGGCAGGAAGCATTCACAGTTAACCAACCCACTTTACCTTCCCCCTTTTAGCTTTACCTAGGGAGCATCATCCATTTCCAAGCTGGAGTTACAGAACAGAGGTTACCCACTGATCCCTGCAGGAACTAACCATGTCCCATTTCCGTTTGGGCGTAGGTGCCAATTATCTTGACTCCATGGACCAGGGGAAGCCATTTCTCCTTCTGAGCATCAGTCGTTTGGGTCTCTAAGGTTTTTTGAAACATGCTGAAGTGGAGACCGAAAGGTTCAGGAAAATTGCCCAAGCATATTCTACAGGAGAGAAATAGAGGGATCTGGAGCTCAGTCTTACTGTGATCCTGGAAGGCTTTTTGCCAACCCTAGAATAAGATAATAATTTCTTTACCTATTTCAACATCTTTTTTTGTCTAACAAGCAGCCTCCAAATCTGGACGCATCAAAATCATAGAATGGTTTGGGTTGGAAAGGGCCTTAAGATCATCCAGTTCCAACTGCCTGCCATGGGCAGGGACATTTCACACTAGACCATGTCACCCAAGGCTCTGTCCAACCTGGCCTTGAACACTGCCAGGGATGGGGCAGCCACAGCTTCTCTGAGCACCCTGTGCCAGTGCCTCAGCACCCTCAGAGGGAAGAACTTCTGCCTTATATCTAACCTGAACTTCCCCTGTTTAAGTTTAAACCCATCACCCCTTGTCCTATCGCTACAGTCCCAGATGAAGAGTCACTCCCCAGCATCATTGTAGGCCCCCTTCAGAAGCAATGCTGATGGGTAAATAAATGTTTCTTTCAGACATTTTCTTCACCTATGAATCCTCCTGTTACTATGTAACTGGAAAAAAAAAAGAAAAAATTCTTCTACAAAGATTCAAGGGGAACTCTAAAATGAGGATATGAAAATCCAGTTATCTTCTCCCCCACCTCTCAGGCTTGGTGAGAATAAATCCCGCTGCTGCTGGTACCCTAAAACTAGGCCATTATTAGCTATAAGCACTATGTATTGAAAAAGAAAAGACTTTTTGGGTGACCAAGTGCCTTTCAGAAGAGCCCCGTGTTCCATGTAGCTGCTTCTATCAGATAAGAAACTCACCTTCAGTTAAAATTACTGTTACAGGCTAGTGCTGGAGGGGATGGAAGGAAGTCAGACATTTTAGGTGTGCATCATCAAAATAGAAGTTACGTCTAGTAATTTAATTTAGAAGCTCAAGTAATTTAGTTGCCACAATGGCAGGCAAAGTACATTCCTAATTACAACAAGCTCCATAACACAAACATGCTAGAAAGTTTCACTGTGTAGAATCTGTGTAGTACATGACAGCATCTTCCCTTCAACATTCTGTAGTCTGAACAGCTTTTCCACCTTCAATCATGAACTTGTTCCATCCTAACTCTAAGCTGGAGGAGGAGAAAAATGAGTGCTCTGCAGGAATAGATCTCCCCGCTTACTCAAGATACATCCTTCCATCCCAAGGTACTAATACCTGCCCAGGGAGCACATTTAAGAGCTTGCCGCCAACACAGATCCACATTACATAGCAGATGCTATGCATAGTTTGTCAAATTACAGCTGCATTTGTGATTGGCATTTTACACCAGGACTGGAATAAGTGCTTGCGAGCAGAGTACATGCTAATTCAAAACCACATCCCTTACACAAGCTGTGAAGCTCAGCCTTAGGGCAAGAGAAAGCAGGACAAAGCTTCTTCAATCATCACTGAACTGCACACTGAAGATGCTTGTTTTAAATGGAACAGTTTTTAAATAGACAAGACTGAAAAAGTGATGGATTTTTCCATGAGCAAAACTAATCATGTAATCTAAAGCTGGCACTCAACGTATGAACCGTGCTTCAAGCTGGTGTCTGGAGCGTTTACAATCAAAGCAGTTTTCTTACCAGAAAATATTCTGTTGCCTACAGCAGCACATGGTTACAAAGCCAAACTCAGGCCTTAAAAATGCTACAAGGACAGCGAGACAAGAGTATTTTTCAGCATTTCTGTGGTTTCCTACATGGCTTATTTAGTCACAGACCCATATAGCAAGAGGAGCACCCTTCACTTCCCCACTGCTTACAGCACAATTACTGTACATCTAGTCCTTAGGCCCAAAAAGGACAAACCTACAGGGGTAAACCAAGTGCTGACTATGAAATACACTGTTTCAGGGCAGCTTGGGAAGAGCTTGAGCAGTTCTTTGCATGTTTTCAGAAGCCATCAAAAGAACTTGTAAAAAACGTGATGCACATGCTTTGCTGTCAGAAAAAGCAGGTCAGACACTGCTGCTTTGAAGGTAACGCTCCAGAAAAATCTTCTTGAAGGTCCCACCAGCAACGGTCACTGCCTATCACTAAAGTTTAATCACAAGTGCCAGATGTTTCATGCTTAACTAGCACCTTCCCTCACAGCAGTAAAAAGAATGACATTTTGGGAGTGAAGACTTTAACATCCCTGTGTCAGTAGGTCATGCTATTTCACTGACTAAACACAGCATTAAGAGCTTCTTGCATCAACAAGGCTTAAAGCAGAACTGAAAGCTAATATACAGCTGAAAATTCCCATCTCTGCATACTCCACGTGGAATATTTAGGATTTTCCTAACGTGCTTTTTAACAATTTGAATGACAGAGAGAAAGAATCCCATTTTCCTCGTGACTGAAGGCAAACAGAAGAGGTATTTGCTGTGAAGGTAGGAACAACAGGTTTTCTTTCCTTCTTTTTCCTCTCTCAAATGCTTACTCCTTCCCCTCCCAATTTCTACATTCCCACTACTTACACAGCTTGTTCTCCAAAAGCTGCATTGTGTAACTGTTAGAGGACTTTGCTGTATCAGCACTGGATGTGGCACAAGCCATTTGATCAATAAGCAGTGGCCCTGTCAGTGAAGTCAGACTTGTCATGACAATCAGCAAGTCAAGAGGAGGGCTGCAGCTCCAAACCCACTTACAGGAGAAGGATGTGGAGTAACACACTACTTTGGCAATAATAGATCTTTCTAGATTTCACGGCAGCCGACACCACCCACATAGTAAAAGGCAGATGAGTTTGTTAGTGTACCTATCACTGAACAGAGTACAACAGAAGCAAAGTCTATGTTTCCAGCGAATCCAAAGCTAAATGAACAATTGCAAAGATTCTCAGGCTGCAGAACTAGGTCACAGAATGAGGCCATTTACTTTAAAGCACAATCTGAAAGCAAACTTTTCTAGCTTTTTGTGGTTCTTGAGGTAACCCTCTCAAAGAAGAGCATGAAAGGCTTCAGAGTTAACAGATGTTATGGTAATAAACCCCTTTCCTAGCTGTATCAAAAAGTCAGACTCATCCAACTCCAAATTAATTCAGCACTGGTTAATAGGGCCCTACTATGCTTTTTCTGGTTTGACTTGCTGAAAGCTACTCCAGGTCCTAACTTTAGATTCAAAATGAGAAGTACAAATTCTTACAGGGAAAGTGCACATTCATGCAATGCTTATGAACACAGGAATCATCTGTTGACTTGCCGCTCTCAGATCTTCTCTTCTTCTCTGATCCCGTTTCTCCCAGTTGTTTTTCTCTTCTTCATTTACTCCTTTTCCTCAGAGAAGGTTATTTAAACTTGAAGGTGACTTAAAACTGACCAGATTGCTCTCTTCAGAGTTGTGTAGCACAGAACAATTCCCATCTTCCATGCTGACTTACACTTTGGTGCAGCCAGACTGTGAAAAAAATCTTAACTATTGGCATTTTAAGGCTGCTGGCCTTCAAAAGCTGTAGCCACAGCAGCACCTGCAGTGTTGACACATGCTAAGACACAAAGAACTAGCTGAGAAGCAATAAGAATGACTTCTCGTTGTATTTGATAGATCCTCTTATGTTTTAGAGTGCAAAGCCCTTTGGAAACAGGAAGGAAGAGCTTTCAGTTGGACATGTCACAGCAGCAACAACTGTTTATCTCCAGGACACCTGAAGAAAGAAGCATTTCTCCTATCCTGTTCATAAATTAAGCTATAAACTCAGTTAGTCAGACACAAAGCTCGCTGGGGATGCTCTGGCAGTATGGAAAAGCCACAGGAAAGCAACTAGCTCAAAATTCCCAAGTTGTATATGTGAATAAATCTGTCCCTGCAGTTTGGGGATAATCCAAGGCATGGGGAATTGATGGCAAAATATCTTAAGCTTCCAAACGTAAAAACTGATGGCCAATGACAATAAATACAACTTGACATCTGAATCAAGAACTTCCATCTATTTCATTAACTTTATCCAAGGCATGTCCATGTCACACCATTATACCCATTCAATTTTCCAGTTTGTAAAAACAAAAACCCAAACACAGTTTCTCCACATCAGCTTTTACACAAATAAAGCGCCTTATAAAAAAAGTCCCAAATAAAGTTTTGCAAGTTGGGTCGAGTTCACTAAATTTAAAGTGTTTGGCACTCAGCAGGTGAGAAAGTGGGGACATATTAAAATGGAAATGAAATCAAAGGATGGAAAAATAATCCTATCATTTCTTCCCTTTCTTAAGCAACACTAAGCCAACAGCCTCCCTTGCAAACACCAGCTGTTACAGTAAGGAAATCAAGAATATGAACAGAATACAGTTTTCAGAGCAAACATACTCCACTTGCAGGTAAGAAGTGTATGTGCGGCTCTTCATTTTTCATGTTATTACAGAATGACACTGGAAAAATGCAGTCTACAGTAATGCAATTATCTCTTGAAATCCTCAATGTCCACAATTAGAACTGACTCTGAAAGAAGCAATCCTTCCTCATGGTTTCAGTTGATTTTGGATCATGAGCTCTGACTAGTCACGCCTAACTATTCATATCACATAACATTTGGATGCAATATTTGGTACCTATATGAAATACTAAGCTTTCATCCATTTAATGTTAAGAATTGCTGACTCCTAAGTAAGTTTATGGAAGGACAAAACTAGAATCTAACATTTGACTACTTCAGAAAGTCCTGTCTTAATAAAGCATTGTCAGTAATGCTACCAGAAGACAGCACTGATACTGCAAGCTTTGTTGAAGCCTGCCAGCTGGCACGCTGGAGAGGCTGCTCTGAGTTTTCTCCATAAAAATAACTAAAAAACTTCCCTAGCACCTCCGATAATCCTCATATAGGAAAAATGAATGATTAACTTCTGCCACGCAGTACCCGAATAATCCAGTGCAGTCACTGAACTTCCTTCTTCTTGTCACTGTCCACCAGTGCCAATTTTCAAATAACATTTCCATTACTGCCATGAGAGCTTTCATGAAGCAGGTCAGTGTAGATCAATTTCTTTGAAATTCAAACTTCAGCAGGCAAGTTTGATTCCAACTTGCTACTCCCAATATTCATGCCCTGACACTAACAACAGTTTTCCTACAAATCCAGTCAGAGGAAGCTTGTGATGCTACCACTGCATTATTTCATGTGCAGTGCTCATTTAATGTGCCAGAGGATATCTTCATAGTATTATGTCCAGCTGTGCAATCTCCCTCTGTTAAGCAGTTTGTCTGATTATATGAGAATGAGTTTAACAGAACCAAGGGGAGAAACATGTCAAAGTCAGGAACTAAGTTCCCTGCAAGCAATGAAACTCAGATGTTAAGGACAGTTTTATAAACTTAATGCAAGGGTAATACTATCAGATAAAGGTCAGATACAACAAAAAGCCTCTAGGTGAAAGGGAACCACTACAGCACCACGAGCTTGAAGGAGGAAGATAGGAGAGACCTTTATAAACAAGAACATATAAACTATCCTGGCACATTTTCAAGTATGTCTGTAGTGCAACTTTATTAGGTCTAAGTGCAAAGTGAAGTAATCAGCTTTAAGAGATTTCAATAAGAAGCTGCAACCTCATCAGATCTGTCCAGATTCAAAATATTTCAGTATAATTTTTATTTCTTTTGGAAAAGAAAAAAGATCACACTACAAGTCCTATTTTTTACTTTCTGCACTATAAACGGATGTGATCATTAATAGTGCATTTCTAGTCAAAGATCTAAGGTAACACAATATTCAAGGTTTCAGCTGCAATGTACTGAAGCCAAACCTTCAGGAAGCTTTTGTACAGGTCTTGAGCTTCCTCTGGACAGCAAACATAACAAAAAAAAACCCAACTCTAACACCCTTGGTGATGATCCAAGCAGCAAACTCCACAGTGAGGTACCTTTTAAACCAGTAGATCTCCTCTGGGTCTGCAATTCCATATTCTCTTAATTTCATCACCATCAAAGAGCTCTTCCTGATGGCTTGCTCATAGCGCTGGCTGCGGGACAGGAAGTTCAAATCCTCATGCTGGAAGTCAGGGTCATTAATAACTAAGGCCTCTGGGTACAGAAGAGAAGAGGAAAACAAACTCAGCTTCCACAAACCTCAACAGGCAGCAGGTGAGAAACGATTCAGCATTTCGCTTGCTGGACCTCAGGGTACAGATAGCAGAACATTCAAAACAAAAGCTAATGCAATTAGAAAGATGTCAGAGCTCTTGGAGAAAGGGACTCTAGCAACAGGGCATTCTCCCATTCCACACATAAACCACATCTTAAGTTCAAAGCACACTTGACAGGAGGTTAATTCACTGATGAGGCCCTCAGTTTACCTGCAGACCCCTCAATAACCATCTCAAAGCCTTAAATAGCCACTCTTACTGCCAGAAAAGCTGCCTCATGAACTTTGATCCTTGCAAAAGGACACAGCTATTACTGCAACTATGCCAACTAGAAATCAAGGTACCTAGAAGCCACTGGCTTCCCATGTCCCCTTTGGCACAGAAGTTACACAACCCTCTGGGAGTCTCACCCCAGTGTGGGCTGGGAAGAGGATGTTGGTATTCTTTCATTAATCTCACATGTCATGGGATTGGCAGGTGACAATCACATTGTATTTGTACAGTTGGGTACGAGCGTACTAGAAAGAAAAAAGGGAGAGGGCCCAACAGATATGCCCATGGGAAGTTGCCTCTGACCCTCTGGAGGAAGGGAAAACTGAGAGGTAGGATATTGCTCTATCAGGGCCACCCCAAATCCTTTTTGCGAAGGGGAGAAGACAGGCATCAGCGACATAACACTGTTCCTGTCTAACCCATCAGACAGAAACCCCTTCCCTCAGGTGGCGCCCTTCACCTGCAAACTCTCTCCTCACAGCTTTCCCTCTCCCGGGGTCTCCCCTCTCCCCAAAAACTCCTACCCAGGCTTTCCCTGCCCTGCAGCCGGCCTCCCTACTACCCCCTCCCTGGGTCTCCCTCTCCCCACATCCTCCTCCCTCCTCACC